GAGATACCCGCTTTCTTGAGTGGACACCTGTGCAAGCTGATATCAAGCAGTGCATGCAAAACACTGCAAGGTGCGTGGCTGGCCAATCCAAGATGATCTTAGCATCTCCTTTAAAGGATGTTCTTTTGCACATGGGCAACGGATACCTGAGTCGCTCCGGTGTATTTGTTCTCCACGTGGACACGGTCGACCTCGTCGAACCGATCCGACACAGTCGTCCGGGTTTGGGTTTCCGCACAGCCAAGGCCCAATCCAGCCATTGGTCGCGGCTCCTCGGTCGCCACAGCAAGCACCGCGAGCACGTGCGCGTGGGGTTCAGTTCGAGCTGAAGCAAGTGATGGTTTCAGTGGATTTTTGGGGGAGTTTTGCGCTATTGCTGATCGTAGACATTGACAGTGGTGCTTTCTGGGGAAGTTTACGGGCTGGCTGGTTCTATTTTAGAGGCTCAAGTCTCAAGTAGTTCCATGGCGTGCACCAGTTGTACTTTCAGAGGTGACCGCCCAAAGAACTCATGACTGCCCAGAAATGGTAACTTTCAACGTGCTGGAAGCTTGGAACATGTGGTAGAAAGAAGGTGTGGATCCGCTCTTCTAACATTCCTCCATCCGAACTCCAAAAAGCTCTGCAGAGTGGAGACTTTGGAACTCAAATGGGTGGAACAAGCAAGTGCAAATCTCATTCATTAGAAGGAAAAACATATGAAACATGTCATTGTTTTAACCCCGCACGGGGGGTGGGTAGGCCGTAGAGGTAGTAGCTAGAGGTAGCTAGTAGAAGCAAGGGAGTCGCTAGTAGCTTAAGTAGCTACTACCGACAGGGCGCAGGATAGCTCATGCACTATTCATTTGGTTCCTAGATGTTTAGGGAAACTTCGCCTTATAACTTATGCCATGAGGATTCATGGTTTACCTTTCCACTAGGGTTCGTGTACAGCTTCAGGAGAATCCCGTGCTTCACCCGGGACCCGGCCGCAAGGTGCAGTAGCTTTTTGCCTTCAGTCGACCTTCGAAAGAGACCTGTCAAGAGACCTTCTAAGGTCTTCTTCAGATGTGAAGGCTAAGGTCTCAAGGACCTTGAGGATCAGAGGATGATGTTCCATCCTCTGAAGCGGAAACACACCTCTCTGGACCACCACCGGATGTGATGTGGGCGAACTGGTGTTCGGTTTGGTTGAAAAAACATGCTTCAACAGTGGCTTCGGTCCGTCACTGGGAGCCTTTACTCCTACGGTCCTCAAGCACTGAAAGTATTGAAAGGCAGCTAAGGTCCTCTTCCGTTCTCTTCAATCACCAGTTTGTCACATCACCTCTGGTGACAGGAATCACTAAAATTTGATGATTCAATTCCCCTCTGTGGGTGTGGATCACATGACTTGTTGCGTCGACCTGCTTGGTCTTTAAGGTCCTGCTGATGGTGGAATTTGATAGATCCACACCCTGGGAAGAATGGAAAGGCTGTCCGATTCAAATTCAAACAGCTTAAGGAAAGCATATGGAAGAGTTACAGAACATCTTTTGGATCTGTTCGGACATCAGCGAACATGGACACTGTGCGTTCCCCATCAGATCATCAGGCCCCCCCAAATGGGCCTCTAGAGTGGCCTCTGGAGGCAGGCTGAAGTTCGCTCACCGCGAGCCTGCAGCTTCATAGTCCAATTGCCCGCAAGCGGCCCTCAAAGCGGAGATCCAAAGTTCGATGCTCCGACTGCCAAAGCTCCTAGCAAGCTCGAGCACCCAAGAGGTGAGGTCACACAGACTTAGTAACAAGGGCGTCGCTACTAGTAATTAACAAGGGCATTACTACTACTAGTAGTAGTAATGCCCTTGTTAATTGTCAGCCAACATTGTGATCACGATCAAATATCATCCAAATGTGAGCTCTATCCCTGGTGCTTTGGGACTCATGGGCCAAAAAAAGAAACATTGGATTCCTTACATCGACACCAATTAAATCGAGTGGGACCCATCAACCCTCCAAGGAGTCTGCCGAGGAAGAGATTTCAACAACGCCAGGGCACTACACGTTCAGCAGTGGCAATGAGGATGCTCGGACCATCCAAGAGATGTGCCCCAAGGATGAAGCTACCTGCAAGGAAACCACTAGGACGATCACTGGGGCCGTCTCAGTGAAAGTGGGCAGCCTTCGGTAAAGCAGGGTATACGGATTCTGTATTGATTCTGTGACACTCTACTAGTGCCAAAGAGGATTCTCAAGGGGCCAAAACTGGTTTAAAGCTGCTCCCAGTGGAAACAACAATAAAATGCGGCAAGAAAAGAATATGTTCACAGTTTTTTCTTCACCCTGCCTGTGCTGTGAAAAGCCACGCATTGCTTGGTGCTGGTGCACCAAACCTTCACCCCACCTGAGAAAAGTGTCTTTCGGATTGATGGACGGACCACTCTCCTTGAGCATGGATGCTGAGCCAAAACGAAACCCCCCCAAGCTCCCCATTGGATGAAGACACTGCATTGCCAACACCCTCGCACCCTCAGAGTGCGTCGAGTGGCATAATATACATGACATGCTGTGACTCCTACCGACTCAGGCTCATCTATCTTTCCCAACCTCTCCCCTAGAAGCACTGAGGTGTTGGAATCAAAGACCTGAATGAAGCCTCTGGCGTGTATTCCCTTTAGTCTTGTGAGGGGCCATAGCCCCGGCATTCATCCAAGCCGCCCTATAGACCCTCCCAATAGCTTATTAACAGATCAAGCACAACCGATTCTTGTCTTGACATGGACATCATCTGCCAATCAAGTTGCTTGAGGTAAAATTGTTAAAGACTTCCTTAGTACAGCATCTTCCAGTGTGCATGTGTCTTTGCGCGCTGTTCTTATTTTTTCACAGGCACTACTGTAAACGAAAGGAATGGGTTCTTTGGATTAAAGTGCAACCTTTGCTGGTCACTCTCCAAAGGCTCGGTTTGGGAATCGCGTAGATTTCATGTTGAAGCAAAGCATGGACCACCATGATTCGTCAACCATTGGAATTCCTCGAAACCGAGACTGATTGGCCCAATCGTGGGACCCGTCGAAACGGTCTCCAAACTGCCAAACCCAGCCAAGCCAAAGCCACGTTGTGGATAGCACCCCAAGGTGAGACAGGCAAATCATATCAAATCATCATGCCACTTCAAGGAACACCACCACCGTGCGATTGCAAACCAATGACCCTTCAGTTTTTCTTTCACCGCTAACCACGGGGGGTATACGGACATCCGGAAAAAAAGAAATGTTCTGGAGGAGTCGAAAAATCCAACCATCACCCTTGGAGATGAAAGGAACCCAACTAGCTTCTTGTTACTAGCAGTAAGAATGCTCCTAGTAGTACGGCAAGGAGCCCCTAGTAGCTTCTTGTTAGCCAATATTGGAGTTGAGGGCCTAACACGTTCACTTTCACCGCCTCATGATATAAGTGTCCAGCCATAGCAATCTTGGAGACCATCGTCTGGTTTACGTTCAAAACTAGATTTTGGCAGCGCAAACTGAGTTTCAACAGCTCAAGGGCCCAGGGTAAGTTCTTCCCCTCTTTGACCAGAAATGCATTGAACCTGCCTGGCTATCTTGGGTGGCCAAACAAAGACAACAGCGCATGTCCCACAGTATTTGTCGCAGCCGCTTGGAATATACAATGATATCAACTTATATATTGGTTGTTATCAGGTTGAGCACCCAAAGACAAGGTGATACTAACCCTGGTCCAAACATCTTCTGACCTAGGGACCGTTCTCAACATCAGTACCTAAATGAAGCCACCTCAACAAGTTGAGGTAAAGCCTATTGCCCTTAGTACTAGTATCTTCTAGCTACTAGTTAGTAGTAATGCCCTTGCTACTAGTAGCTTCTAGCTACTCCACCACCGTCGAGTCCATCTGTGTCGAGCGCCCTCCCTGACCGCCCAACGCCGCAAACGCCCCGTCCCGCCGTGGCGCACGGCCGCAGCCGAAGGCGACCAACAAGAGGCCGCTGTCCCTGCTGAACCTGGACACAGCAGCGAAACCATTCGCCAGGCCGGCCACCCCTGCCGGAGTGAAGTTGGGAAAAAGACTGGGACTAGAACAGAGTGGATAATGAATTCACCCTTTGCACCTTTGTTGCACACCGCACAGGCCCTAAGCTGAGGGTAGCCACTGCATATCCCCGACATTGCAAGAAACTGCAACGGCCCAAAACCCAGTTTGGAGGAATTCCAAAACCGTGAAAATACCGGTCTGGAGCATCTAAGCCTCTACGCCGGAACCCAAGCCCAGACGAGGAGCTGCATCGAAATGATGGATCCGGCCTTAAATGCCCGGAACCGGTTCCAACCCAAGATCAAAGTATGTTCTTTGAATCTTAGAAAGCATATGATTGAAAGACAAAAACTGCTGAATTCTTGATGGCGCAAGTCTTGCGACAAGGTTCACTGACTCAAACTCAGACGAAATTGGTGTACCAAAGTCTCAAAGGGGTCTCTAGCGAGGAAATTGGGCGAAGGAGGGCCTTGGAAATCTCCAATGAAATCTATTAATATTGGTGCATAACGGTGCTTGGTAAAAGGGAATGGATCCTGGTCCTGATCCTGATCAATTCCATGGTTGGGGCTCATGGCGTTCCCGACAAGTGGCACCAGCCAGAAATCTCTTACAAGTTCCATCCTTTTAGACTTTGTCGGTGACTCTCCAAGCTGCATGGTCATTGATGATGGCATCACAGCTGCCACTTTCCATAGACCAAACCTCGCACAACACACACAAACATAAAGGCCCTCGGACTCCGTCCACGGAGTCAGCTTCACCAGCTCCGTGCAGCGCCACAACAGCTTCACAGCTTGAGTGACATCGGTGACATCGGTGCAACATGGGATCCCTTTTTTTACACATATTTTCAGAAGAAAAAGAAGCTACTAGGGGCTCCTGGCATCGCTACTAGGAGCAAGGACGCTACTAGGGGCTCCTGGCCGTACTACTAGGAACAAGAAGCTACTAGCATACTTTTAGACTTTTAGATCCTGCAGGCACAAGGGTTGCCTCGCCCCACATGAGATCACCTCTCATGTAAAACTATCTGTCTCCAAAGAGAAGAAACACATTGCTCATCAATAGGCACCATGTCTTTGAATGTCTTTGATATCTGGGTGCCCATGATTTATTCCATCAGCCTGGGGTCGATCCGAACATGCTTTGCAGCTTCACCAATTCATTGTTCCAAAAGCTCCATTCACCAGCAAAGTCCAATCATGTTTTTTCGCTTTCTCAGGGGACCTCCAGATTTCAATGCAACCTAATGAGTGTTTGCACCTCGCATAGATCCGATCGTTCACTTTCGCATACTTTCGCAGTCCGAACGTCGGCATCTGGACTTCCACAAAGCCTCCACGGACCAAGTCGCGCGTGCTGCCACCCCCGATGAGCTCGCCAGCCAACGCTCAGAGATTGCCACAGCCCTCACTGCGTCGTAATGGCCATGCCTGGGAAAATTAGTGCCTCTGCAAGGTGGAATGAGATAACTCCGAACCTTCCAAAAAGAAGGATTTGGTTGAACATGTTCGAAGATGTTCAAAGTATGGGACAAAACCTAGCCATATAGAAGGAAAGCTAGCAGATCTAGAAGATCTAGAAATGAAGCGAGTGAAGGTACATACCGTTACATACCTTCCAAAATGAAAGCCAAGCCGTCAAAGGACTTCAACACCCACTCGATCCGTAGAGAGCTGCTGGGTCACGATACCCCGATGCACGGCTTCTGCCAAGGAACAAAACCCAAAGACATGAGCCCTGCCGGTCCCAAACGCGCACCGTCTTGTCCAGGGAGCCCGAGCAAATCCGCTCACCTCAGCGGGTCTAACCGGAAAGCCGGTCGCAGAACATGCGACCAGTTCTTCTTGAAGTGGGGTCCTGTGCTTGTCGGCGCTTGTGAGAGGGTTCATGTGCGGCATGGCCGTTGGAGTCAATGATCTATGGGCGTTGAAAAAGAGGGGATTAAGCACAAGGTCAAGTGAAGCAGAGGTTCTTTACACAAGAAGATTCCAGACATATCCAGATCCTTCAAACATCTCTGGGTGCCCCAACCATTCTTGGAGCAAACAATCGAGAGGATCACGGCACTGTGCCCCTCCAAGGTGATGGGGTCTGCACGTTGCAAACTCCAAATCCTTGCACTCTTCGCGCCCACGCCGAAGAGTAAAACAACTGAAGTAAAATAACGTTAAAAATTGCAGACTATACCCCAAAGCTCGCCGCCAATGATAACATTTGGATTAACTTGGTTCACCACGGCAAAGACATGTCAAGTCGGTGTCGCTGCAGTTGATGTCGTGTCAGATCGGTGTGCGCCGGATCTGGGCGATGAACATCCGTTTGATCCGCAAGATCATGCGCATCCCTTAAGCAGCAAAGGACTCTACTAAGGGCTCCTGGCATCGCTATATACTAGGAACAAGAAGCTACTACAAGATCATGCGCATCCCTTAAGGTGGGTTGGTGGAGGCCATCGCTAGGACGGCGTTGAGGTGGAGGCCCGTCAGGACGGCAAGCGATCGGCCCGCAAAACCCTTTTGCACCACTTCCTCTGGCGATGGGCTGTCTTACACCAGACACCCGCATGAATGGCTTGGAAAGTACGAAGTAAAAATGTATATATTCTGAAACATCAAGTTTATCCAAAAGAGATTCTGAATCAAGATCAAAAGGTCTGCAAGTCAAGCCACAAACCAGGCCTTCAGCTCTCTGCGCATCCCCCTCCATGTCACCAAGCAGCCGCACGGTCTCATCCGAAACGCTTAGGAACTCCGACTCCTCACTCCCCGGCAGGAAGAAGGCCTCGTTCCGAGACGAACGCAGATCGGGTGGAAGATCGGAAGATCCGGATGAAGAGGTCGACTCGGTCGCATTCGGTCGCGTTACCGTTCGTTGAGAATGATGATTCTATACAGATAGTTCACATGTTCCGTCACGTCACGCACCCAAATTCAGGCAGTTGACATAGTCGCTGCTGGTCAGTGGCGCAAAACCCAAGGAGTTGACACAGAACTTCTGCGATTTCGACTTCACCAGCCCCGACCTGGAGCACGTAGCCATGGTCCAGGTGCCACAGGCGCTGCCCAGTGCTGGCCTCCCAAACCTCAATGCAACCCTCAAGAGGAAGCCGAAGCCGTGGGGTGAAAGGATAGAGGTCAGATATGGTCAGATGCCAAAGTCCTGACTTCTGCGACGAAAGTAAGGAATGAGGGTGGCTGGATCCAAAGGAGGTTCAGTCCCTCATTCCCTACTAAGCACCAGTCAGAATGAATACAGCTAATGTTTTTTCGGTGTGTCGGTGACCAGTGAACAGAGGGAGAAAAAGACAGAAAAAAAGGTTCGAAAGGCTGTGCTTCAAATCTGCCAATGGAATCCAAACTCAACAGCCCCACATTCATTGGGTTTAGGGGCTTGTATTGCGGGGAGCTGGGAGTAGGCATTCTGCAAGGTGTGCGCTGTATTGGTAGGAAGCAGATGCATTTTCTTTGCACGAATGTCCCTTGGATCGAGGCGCATGTTCGAAAAGAGTCCTCTCTCGATCTCGTCTCTTCAACTTCCATATGAAACAAACCTCCACGCCTCCAATCCAGCTTAAGCAGGTCGTGTTTCAGGGGAGACTTCAAGTTTGGGACCTCCCCGTGACTTCCAAAAGGCTTCTCTGGTCATGTCAGGAACGACCGTCAAATCAGCAGGACCTTCTCTCCAAGCCTTGCATAGCCTCCACAAGTCTATCCAGCTGCATCCACTGTCTATCCAAGTAGCAGCAAAAGATCCCGGGTTCGGACGACCCAGCGGGTCAAAGGAGTGGAAACATGATAACAAAAACATAAAATCAGCCCACGAAACGAACGATTCGGCTGAGGCAGAAGTCGAGACTTCTCAACATCCCAGACCTTCCATGTGCCACAAACAAATCGACCTTCCCGGCAGCAGGGCACCAATGGAAATTTAGCAAAAGTATACATATATATATATATATATCTCCTGCAGATTCCTTTTCATTGAAATTCTTGGTAGTTCTCGTCTTTGATGGTTCTTTACATGTTTTCGTGTTGCTTTCGGGCTGGGTCGACTATCTCGACTAAAACGTCAATGTTTACTGCATTTTGCTGCGTTTGAGTGATCCTCACAGGAGGTCACGGTTGGGAAGCGAAGAAGCAATCATCCATCAAGAACAGTGCAAGAAAATAGATAGCATCAGGTCAACAAGCATGTTTTTAGATCCATCTCATGCAAAAGCAGCTGCAAGCCCAGCTCGCCCAGCCTTAGCCGGCGCCATGCACGGGTAGATGATGATCGTCTTTGGGTGGCACATTCCTCCCGAAGCCTAGACGCAAAAGGATTGTGCACACCAAAGTGGCATGCTAGCATCCAATAGTGGCTGGCCCTATCCAGCTGAGGAATGCCCTTTACGTTTCAACCACTTGGCTCGCCGACGTGACTTTAGCGGCTACTTGGTTGCGGCATACCATGACCAAAAGGATTTACACAAACACACATTGGACGAACGATCAACGCATGAAAAACATGTTAACTCAAGCTTCCTCGCTCCGGTTCCAAGGTTGAGCATTCCTGGGCTATCATCCTATATGCCGCAGGCCCGCCTCCGCCCAGGTGCCCCTCTTCATTCTTGAGACTTCGTGTGTGCATGACAATCTGCCCCATTTCGATTTTTAGACTGGCTCATCAGGGGTGAAGTTCGTTTAGAGTAGATCGGTTCTGATCTGCACGGATGGCAACTGACTTGGCTAGAGCTTGGGAGGGCTGTGAACCAGTGAGACGGACAGCCAGACAAATGGAATTGGCTACTAGGTTGCTTTACGAGTGAGAGCCATGCTTTTGCCTAGCTAGTCTGAATGGTTCCCAACTAGTTTCCCAACTCTTTTGCCTTTGCCTAGGGTCAAAGCACCTTCTAGCCAAGGTGCAAATCTCTGGAACCACAGTGACGCGAGAAGCCTTGGTTAACAACAAGGATGTCCTGGTACACGCTATCAACATTGTTGGATCACGTGTGTCAGTTGATGTCCTGTCTCTTCACATCAGAGCTCTTTACGATTTGATGAAATTGGAAGTGCCAAGTACCCAAACTGCATTATCATGTGCAATGCAGCTCTTTTCATCTGATGTGACTGTGCCTCCGCATGCCCCGGCCCAGGTGCGACCGTGGATGCCCAAGCATGGTATCTTCGAAGATGTCTCACAGAGTACAACACGATCGTTCGACGACCACACCTTCCTAGAGAGTTGGCGATCAGATCGCTAATGAGTGACACTGGGATTGTGTTGAGTCATTACGGCGTATCATCCGACTCCTTGGATCCCACAATCCATGACACTGAAGAAGGCGACGAGGCCATGGAATCCGAGGAAGAGAGAGAAGATGATCCCTGTTTCCTGGTTGATCCCATGTTTCAATTTTAAAATATTGTTGTGAAACATTAGACCAACAATTCGTCACCCCAATTCCCGTGCGCTTTACAATCGCCCAAGGTTTGGAGGAGTTCCATGAGATGCAGGAGCCTGTGGGTCCAGATCCGGTTTCCTGTCTTCCAAGGGAATGGTCGAGTCTAGTGAGGGACATAAAGAAATGCGCAATCCCTTTGGCCACTCAAGATGACAGGGATCCCTTTCCGTCTCATAGCCGTTTCATCCGAGGCTCCTGAAAACCCTGCGCTGCCTTCAATGCCTGCAGCTGAGCCAACAATGCCAGC